TCCCAGAAGGATACCTGCCAGATGTCACCCTGAGCTCTCCTTTATGAGGTGATTGTTTGGATATATGGGGATCAGGGAGCTGCTTGAGGAGACAATCTGACCCTTATAGGAGCTCAAGTGCTGAGCTGTGAGCTCTATTGTTTCATTCACAGGTGCTGGGCAGGTACATTTAAATCTGCTGCAGCAGAACTCATAACCACATCTTTTCCCAGATGCTCTGTCCTAGGAATGTGGGGCTTTATTTATAAATTCCTGATGTGCCGTTGCCTTTTTTCAGAGATGCCCTGCCCAGCTAGGAGGTAGCCTAGTCACAGTCTGCCTGGAGAGGTGTTGCTGAGCTGCTGTGGGCTCTGCCCAGCTGCTGTGTGAACTTCCTTGTGATTTTGTTAATAGAGATATAGTTAGAACTGCCTCAGTAATGGCGGTCTGCCTCAGTAATGGCGGTCTGCCTCAGTAATGGCAGGCTGCCTCAGTGATGGCAGGTTGCCTCAGTAATGGTAGACTGGCTCAGTAATGGAGGACTGCCTCGGTAATGGCAGACTGCCTCGGTTATGGCAGACTGCCTAGGTAATGACTGACTGCCTCAACAATGGTGGATTGCCTTGGTAATGGTGGATGCCCTTCCCCCCACAGAGCTGGACTCTCCCAGGTCCAGCTGCGCTTGCTGTGAAACTCTTAATCTAGAGCATTTCAGATTGCTGGACTTTGTGGGAGTAGGACCCGCCGTGGGACCTGCCGAGCCAGATCACCTGGCTCCCTGTTTCAGTCCTTTTTTCAGTTCGATGGGCGGCTCTGTCTCCCAGGCATTCCAGGTGCCAGGTGAAATGGCTGCCCAGATTTGGTGAGTTTTTGTACCGAGACCCACTGCACCAGCCATGCTGGAAACTCATTGCACTTTTCAGCCTGGGAATCTCCTGGTCTGTGGGCAGTAATAACTTGCCTGGAAATGCGGTGATCACTCACCCTCTGCATTGTTCTCACTGGGAACTGCACTCCAAAGCTGTTCCTATTCAGCCATCTTGGATCTGCCAACTGGGAGACACCTGAGGCATTCTTTTATAGTGATGTAAAACAGATGAATATAACAATTTTAAAAACAAGCTTCAAGCTTGTATAGAGCCTAGGAATATGACATCCTTTTAGGTCCTATGGTTCATAATGCTATGAAAAAGAATGGGAAAAATACCATTCTTTTTCATAGCACCTCCTGTATACTTTGTGGTGGCTCACACTGCATGCAGACTCATGGGAGTAGAACAATGCAAAAATTTTCTAAACATATCTTTGTATTTAAAACCAAATCACATTTTCTTTCTCTTTGCTTATCCAAAAGAGAAAAAAATACTTATGGATTCTAGTATAAGCCAATAATTTTCACAGGAGAGAGAAAGAATTATATCTAAATTGTATGACTAGTCACAAATATTTGTTATATAATCTAGGCCTTTTAAAACAGAAGCTTTTCCTTAAAACAAATAATCTGCAAATTTCCTTTATAAAAATCTGCCAAACTGATTGGCCTAAAAGATATAAAGATGGAGTAGGAATCATGTAACTGAAACAAATCACTTTTTAATTCCTGACAGTGTTTTCAGATTGTGTGATATGTGCATTAAAAAGCTGACATTTTGAAGTTAGTTATATATTTCTAACTATAATATATATATTATATATTTCTAACATCTTTTAGTTAGAAATATCAATCTTTTACAAAAATTGCTTTTCCAACAGAACAATCTGTCTTAAAATTACAACTGCATTTTCACTCTAGTTATACTTTATCATATCTATCTTTCATGAATAGAAAGGCACTAGAATAATATAACCCTCTAGAAATCCCAGAGCTGTGTCTGCTAGATTCAAATGTATTGTTGAGATATTTGCTATTTAGAAGAGCTTGTTGTGCAGATGACAGTGGTGATGCCTCCTTCTCCCATTCAGGTAGTGCTTGCTGGTCAGCAATGGGGCCACCTGGGACCCATTCTGAGAGCACTGGTTTGCTCAGGATGACCATCTCTCTTCCAGTTCTCCATCCAGAACTCCAGCTTTTCCAACCACCCTTCAAGTCCTGATGGAGATCAGAAGGAGGTTTAGTAGGGCAGGAAAGAAATTACTGTGACTTAGACATTTCCTATTTTTGCTGTCATTTTCTCTAGAGGAGCAAATGAATTTTAAGTGCCTAGCAAGTCAGCTTACATTCATTTTGTGCTTACTGTGTGCCAAGAATATGGAAAGTATTTAAAATCACATTTAAATATAGAGCTCTGTTTCTCCCCACTGTACACATAATGACATGAACCCTTGGAGAGGTAGCATGATTTGTCTAAAATCACCTAGTTAATAAATAATAATACCTAAGAATTCTGAAACAGGACTGTTGTGCCACTGACATGCTTTAGTGGGCTGCCTTTACACACATAAACACCCAGAAAATACTGGAAATCTAGGAATTTTGTTGTTGTTTTTCTCAGTAACATAGAGCTACTTTGATTTTTCACAACCTTTGTATCGCTCTGCATAGCTCACAATACAGATATCTAGGGAGGTTCCTGGCTGCCAGGGGATACCCTAGGAGGGACTGCAACCTGATACTGAAATGAAAGAACCTACACAAAACACCCATACTGGCAATTTAGTTTAAAAGCTAGATCTCAAAAGCCCTTTACTATCATTATGGACTGAATTGTATCCCCTTCACCAAATTCGTACATTGACGTTCTAATCCCCAGTACCTCATAATATGCCTGTTTTAGAGATAGGGCCTTTGAAGAGCTGATTAAGGTAAAATGAGGTCCTATGTGTGGGGTCTACTTAGTCCAATCTGACTGGGATCTTTAAAGAAGAGATTAGAACATAGACACATACAGAGGAAAGACACAAAGAAAAGCAGCCACCTATAAGCCAGAGAGGACCTAGGAAGGAACCAACCCTACCAGCTACTTGACCTTGGACTTCTAGCCTCCAGAAATATGAGAAAACTAATTTCTGTTGTTGAAGCCACACAATCTGTGGTACTTCCTTATGGCAGCTATAGCAAACCAATACTAATGGAGTTGCATAACTGCTGATATCTAAAATTAAGAGCTTTCCTAATCATACAACGTTCCTCTTTAAAACTCAGAAATGTAGGCAAGAAAATCAAACATAAATTGTTAAAGGTTGAATCTAGTAAGAAGAAATTCAAGTTGTTTCACCAACTATTTTATCACACTGGAATGTTATTGCTCCAAATGCAACCTGGCTGAGAGGATCTATGACTGAGTCTTTGAAATCCCGTTATTTGGGGTAGCCTAATGATGATTATGAAAACACTACTTGAGCTGAAGGCAAATTGGAGAAGCTTTCTAAATTTCTTCACACAGCTACTTGGATATACTTACTGTGGAAAGAGTTTAAACCTTTGCAGATTCTCACTAAATTCTGTGGAAGGACAAATACAATAGTACCTGAGAAGTGATGGTAATGCCTGCTGTTAAAATCAGAAGAAAACATGAACATGACGAATGGAAAGAGAAATCTCAAAAGAAAGAAAAAAAAATGAAGAATGAATTAAATCTTATCCAAAGACATTAGAAGGGATTGTCTATGACAAAAATCCCTTTGACTTTCAAGTCACTACATATTTCTAAATTGCATGCATGGTACTATGGGGGAAATTAGAGTTAGAAATTGACCTTGACCTCAAATATTTCTTGATAGGCTATGAGAAAAAAAAAAAAAGATGCAGACACAAAGAAACCATAATTTCATGAGGCTTTTGTAAAATCTGTAATGGCAGCCAGAATGTGATAAAATCAAAGAGAACAGAAAAAGTAATTGTGGCTAGGGGCACTGGATGAGACCTATTGGTAGAAGCAGCATTCACGTCGGGTCTGGAGGGTGACAAGTGGGGTTGCAGAGGGAACTTTCAAGGCAGACAGACAAACATAAGGAAAGGCAGATGTTGAAGGCAAATCATGTCTAGCAGAAAAGTAGGAGTCTAACATACTTATGTGAAAGGAAGCATTAAGAGAATGGGTCAATTGACCCTGCACTTGCACATCTATATTCAAACCTGGATTTGAATCCTGTGTTCTCCATTTAGTAGATTTATGCCCTCCATCTTCCTGAGCCTCAAATTCCTCATCTGTGAAAAGGAGATACTGATTCAAACCTCACAACTGTGAAATTAAAAGTGAGTCCTTTGTGTAAAATCTCAACCTAGCAAAGCCTGATATGTAATAAAAACTCAGTATACGTGAGATGAACCTATAGGATTCTGTAAGAAACAAGGAACCAATAAAGTTTTTGAACACACAAATGAGATGACCAGAAGTAGGCATTTGGAAATGCATCGCAGCAATATTGTGTGTAGAATGAATTAAAAGACAGCCATTGTACAGCAAAGAAGACCCAGTAGGAGAGGATTGCACTCGTGCAGGTTTGAGGCAGTGAAAGCCTGAACAGGACTGTGCTGCTGGGAATGGGTAGGAGGTGATGTGGGGAAGAGGCTTCATTGGAGAGGAAACGGCACTGGGATAGGCACCCTGGGACATGCACTGCTGTTCAGAAAATTACATTCTGGTTCTGTGGCTTTTTTGACTTCTATTGAGCTACCTCTGTGAATTCTTAGTTTGCACATCTATAAAATAAAGAGACTGGAAAATCCCCAAGCATTCCTAGAGTACTAAAATACTTCATGGCTATTTAAATCAATAGAACTTGTTAAGCTTATTAAATGAGAAAGTAAAGACCATAAGGGAAACAGAGAAATTGAAGATAACCCGAAACAACAAGTGGTAAATAGAGTTAGTGTGTCAGTAGATGATGGCATTACTAAGAATATGGAAGAGAGGAAAAGAAACAAGTTTGGGAGAGAATATGACGAATGTTATTTTTAACAGTCTGAAGCGCTGTCCTTCAAACAATTAGATAATGTGAATATTCAAAATTTCATTAAAGTATCTTCTGTACCATGTAAACATAAGCTTTTAAACAAATACTTTCTCTTTCACTTGTAGATTCTTTTCATTGGAGATTCAACCAACAGAGGGATCATGTACTATCTTATTGAAAGGCTGAATGAAACGTTGCAGGAATGGCAGAAAGTACATGGCACTAAATTGTATCACAACGTCAATGGTGGGAAGACTTTGATCAGTTATTCCTACTATCCTCAGTTCTGGATAAGCCCTTCATTGAGACCAACATTTGAAAATGCTCTTGAACACCTCTTGAAAAGGTACAATGAAACTATAATTAGTGACACAAAAATCACAAAGTGCTGATGTTCTACTAAGCAGTCCACTGCTTAACTGCTCACTGTACGTTAAATGTACTCAAAAGCTTAGATACCAAGTAAGGGGGCGGAAAACAAGTTGGAAATGACAAGGAGTCTTGCTATCAAGATGCCAGATACAGTTCAGTGAAATGTGAGGCAGTGCAGTTACAATGTTTACCTCCTGTTTTAGGGTATCGTGTTTGTTTTTCTTTCTGGATTTCAGATCACATCCTCTAGAGAATACTGGCCGGACTGTGTTGGTTGTTGGTGGCGTTCAGTGGCTTAATTCCAATCACTTGCAAATTATTCACAAAGTTTTGAAGAGGTAAATGTCTGCAACAAAATTGTCATTAGTATTCTAAGTCAAAAAAGTTACTATTAATGTGACTGAGTTTTATCCAGATTTTATTTAAAGAACAACTTAAAACTTAGCATTAAACAAGTCTAGTTTAAAATACTAAAATAAAATAGCCTTTTATCCAGTTACAACATGGCTGTTCATTATCCAGATTTACATTCAGTACAGATCAAAATGTGTCTACCGACACCTAAAACTCTATCTTTTTTTTAAAAAAACCCTAATGTACATCAAATATGTAAATGAATATTTAGTCTTATATGCCAATTATCACATTCTGAAAAATTCGACTGTATTTGTTTGTATAAATAACAAACATTTAGCACTGTAATTAAAGTTACTGACTTTAGAATTATAATTATCTCATTCAGGGAAAATTTACTCAATATCCTAGTGATCATCAAAACTTTGGGAATTGGATTTCATCTGCCAGTGGATGGAGTACATTTCTTAACACAGGTAAGCACATTTCCTCTGGGCTAGGTGAATTTCATGATTCCTATAAGGATCCCTGCTGGAAAAAGATGCATAAGGCACTATAAAATATTAAGTAACCTTCATGAAAATAAAAGAAGAGAATATACTTAAGGGTTATGATTGCAAATAAATTGTAATTATTTTCATATAGCCCACAAATATGTTGTAAATAATGCATTGACTTCATAACACAGAAAACAATGTGTTGAACTATGCAAAAATAAAGAGCTGAGCGGTATATGAGAAAGATTGTGCTTTAGGTATCCCTTACCCCTCCAGTTTTGCATACACCTTTAAAGGCTGTACTAAAAGGATTTCCTTTTGTCAGGTTCATGCTGAAACTACAAACAAAACTGTCACTATCAATGAGTCTTTTGGTAAACAGTGGTCTTTTTGAAGATGATTTCAAACTGATTGCTTTATTTTAAAAATTGTCTTTGAAGTAGTATCATTGGTTTTTCCTGTAATTGGATATTCATCAGCGAAAGGAGTAGGGGTCTCTGACCAGTTCTTACAGAAGATAGTAAATTAGCCTCAGCACTGGTTAGAAGTCTCAGAAAAGAAAAGAAAGATAGGATCTGCAGGGATGAGAACCAGCTGCTCTTGCTCAAGCCAAGAGAGCTCCGGAGCAGCCAGAATTACTGGGCAATTGCAAAGTAATGACACTGGTGAGCCCTGGGAATTGGGGAGACAGGAAGCTGTTCATTTAACGTGTAAGGAGCTTGAGATTTATATTTTTGTGTCTCCGTTGAGTGCTACTACCTTTCCCCAGCACAGAACACAAGACCCCCTACTCTTTTCTCAGAAACATACCTGCCTGGATGGCAGATCTTCTGTGATGCAAAAACAGGAGAACTAGTAGAAAGTGGCCAAGGTACGGCCTCTAACTTCAGCATCTTGGGGTCAGCAGGGGTTAAGGTAATTCAAAATGAGTTGAGGCAATTAACATCTGGGATAGCTGAAAGGTTTAAGACTATTGGGGATCAGGTGAGGGGACCTTTGATAAAGTCTTCTATGGATTGAATCCCTATAATGTTATTTGAAGGCTATAGGTCAAGTTTGCAATTTCTTCTTGAGAACTCTAGTAGCTCCACTGTGCCTCTTCGATGACAGATTCTCACAGTAACTGGCGTACTTGTGGCCTCTGGTCATACTTAGGTTACAATTCAGAATCAATTCCTCTCAGCAAACATTTCTTCAGCACTTACTGTGTGCCACATATTGTTAAACATTATGACTGCCACCCGAACTTTGATAGTGCTCATCACTCTTTTTATACTGAGTCAAGACAGAAGGAGAAAGAAAGGGAGAGGCAAAAAATAGGAAAAAGGAAAAGAGGATAATTGCAAGTGAAGGCAGAAAACAAATTCAAATATTTCATCATGTGCTCATATAACCATTCAGCGCTGGCTTCTGCCTTTCTCTGTAGACTTATTCCTTGCTACCAGTGCATATGCACACAAGTGAGTGTGCACAAACACACACTCACACTCACAACACCACTGAGCTCAGTCAGGCTGAGCACGTTTCAGCTTCTCAAGCACACCATGCTCTCAGTCACCTCCAGACCTTTGAAATAAATCCCTGCTCCTTCTACTTGGAGTCAACTCCTCCACCACCCTCTCATCTGGGTGACTTTCAATTACTCTTCAAATGTTAGCTTATATGCTAGTTCCTCAGAGAAAACCTCTTGATGCACTAGACTGGGTTGGCTGCTCCTGCCATGAGCTCTTGTAGCAGTGTCTTATGTTCTTACTTATGCCACTCAGCACATATACTCCTTGGCTGTCTGTCTCCTCTGCTGGATGGTAATTGTGAGAGCAACAAGGGAGCTGGGGGTTAGGGGAGTCTGTATGGCTCACACTGACAGCTCAAATGCCAAATACAATTGTCAGCACATAGTACATCCTCAAAAAATACCTGGTATACAAGCGAGTGTAGCAAGCGTAGTATCTAATAGGTAGCTTTCCAACCCTTTGTCCTCTCCCTTTCTCCCGCTTCTTGTAGACCTGTGTCCATTGATTCTATCTTCAAACGTACCCAATGTTTAGCTCCCCCTCTTAAGTAAGGAGATGCAATATTTGATTTTCTCTTCCTGCATTATTTAGCTTAGGGAAGGTTCCAGGTGCACCCATGTTTCTGCAAAAGACATAATTTTGTTCTTTTTATGGCTGCATAGTATTCTATGGTAAATATGTACCACATTTTCTTTATCCAGTCCACTTTTGATGAGAACCTAGGTTGGTTCTATGTCTTTTCTATTCTGAATAGTGCTGTAATAAACATACAAATGCATGTCTTTTTGGTAGAATGATTTATTTTATTTTGGATACATATTGAGTATGGGGATTGCTGGATCAAATGGTAGTTCTATTTTTAGTTCTTTGAGAAACCTTGAAACTCCTTTCCACAGTGGTTTAATTAATTTACATTTCCACCAACAGTATATAAGCATTCCTGTTTTACACAGCCTCACAAACATCTGTTAATTTTTCACTTTTCAATAATAGCCATTCTGACTGGTGTGAGATGGTATCTCACTGTGGTTTATATTTGCATTTCTCTGATGATTTGTTAACATTGAACATTTTTTTATGTTTGTTGGCTGTTTGTATTTTCTATTAGTCTACTTTGGATTTCTGTAAAGAAATACCATAGACTGGGTAAATTATAAAGAAAAGTGATATTTTGGCTCACTGTTCGGCAGACTATACAAGAAGCATGGCACCAGCATCTGTTCTGGCAAGGCCTCAGGAAGCTTACAATCACAATAGATGGCTAAGGGGGAGCAAGTGTGTCACATGACAAGAGACACAGAATGATAGAGGGAGCAGGAGAGAGCAGGGGAGGTGCCAGGCTCTTTTAAACAACCAGATCACATATGAACTCATTACCGTGAGGAGGACACCGAGCCATTCATGAAAGATTCGCCCTCATGTCCCAAACACGTCCCACTAAGCCTCACCTCCAACACTGGGGCTCATATTTCAACATGAGATTTGGAGGGGACAAATATCCAAATCATATGTCTTCTTTTGAGAAGTGTCTGCCAATTTTTAACAGGTTTGTTTTCTGCTTGCTGATTTAAATTCCTTAGGATTCTTGATATTAGAACTTTGTCAGATGCATAGTTTGCAAATAGTTTCTCCCATTCTGTAGATTGTCTATTTGCTGTGTTGATACTTTCTTTTGCTATGCAGAGCTCTTTAGTTTAATTAGGTGCCACTTATCAATTTTTTCTTTTGTTACAGTTGCTATTGGGGTCTTAGTCATAAATTCTTTGCCAAGGCCAATGTGCTGAAGGATATTTCCCAATTTTCTCCTAGGATTTTTAATAGTTTGAGGTCTTACATTAAGTATTTAATCCATCTTGAGTTAATTTTTATATATGGTAATTGGTAGGAATCCAGCTTCATTTTTTTGCATATGGATAGCCAGTTATAAATAGTGCTATCCAATAAATAGCACTATTTATTGAGTAAAGGGTCCTTTTCCCATTGCTTATTTTTGTTGACTTTGTTAAAATAAATTGGTTATAGATGCAGCTTTTTTTCTGGGTTCTTTATTCTCCTTCATTAGTCCGTTTCTGTTTTTATGCCAAAACCTTGCTTTTTGGTTACTGTAGCCTTATAGTATAGTTTGAAGTCACATAATGTGATGTGTTGGCCTTATTCTTTTTGTGTAGGATTGCTTTGGTTATTAGAGCTCATTTTTGGTTCCATATAAATTTTAGAATAGTTTTTTTTTTAATTCTGTGAACATGATATTTGTAATTTGATAGGAAAAGCATTAAATTTGTAGATTGCTTTAGGCAGCAATGTTGATTTTTAAATCGAGAATTTTTGATATTTTGATGAGTCTTTGTGGGCAATAAATTTAACCACTTTTTACTGAAGAAGTTCAAAACTGTGTGTCACTATAGATATTGTTGTTTTACACATACCTAAGTGATTACATGTATGTTTTGAGTAAAAAAAAATTAGAACACATCTTTATTTAAGAAATATATGTGAAATTTCTTGTCTTACACTATGACCAATCCCAGTAAAACAGATATTTACATAATTTCCAACTAAAGTATTGAATCATAAAACAATCCTCTGTTAATAAAAATTCTGCTTTCCAATCAGACTGAAGTACAAAACTTATGGAAAGAAAATTTGATTATTCTGGATACTGCAAAAAAATATGGCTATGAAGTAGTTGACACATTCACCATAACAATGGGACGATACAAGGAGTTTCTACAGGGGAAGTGTGGATGTCATTTCCATGAGGTATTTATGCTGGCTCTCTGAGTTTGATAGCTTTTGATTTTTTTAAATTTGTTGTGTCTTTAATTGTATTGTCAGTCTTATTTTGCATGAAACAAAAAACAGTGTGAGGTGGAGATTAAACGGTATGTTCATCATCACTCAGCCAAGGCATGTAGTAACCACAGCTTTAGCTCTACCAAATGAGGTGTTAAAAAATGTATGTTTGTTTAGACACTTCAAAACTAGGACCATTGGTCATTGCAGGCAGGAATATAGGAACCTGGAGGTCACTTAAATTCTCTAATAGACTTCAAGCCTTCCCATCAGAAATTGAATCAAAAAAAAAAAAAGTGACAAAAATTTTCATTAGCAGCAGCTTACAAAACAAATTTACTTGGTGTGCTGAACTAATGAATGACCTTCTTTCATTGGCTTGCCCCGTGCATAGCAGGAGGACCTGTTTTTTTGAGTAGGAGTTTTTTCCCTCCCCCAGGGTGAAAATAATTTTATTTTTAACCTATAAATAGGCTAAGCTGATAAGGTAATAGCCTAAAACAATTTTATTCTTTTTCCTCCTGTCCTTTTGCACCCTCTGTGGATTACTTCCCCTCCTACCCTTGACTAAAAAAAGTCTTGGGTAGGACCCATAAGTTTAACACCACTTTCAGATAACAAAAGGTCTCCAGTCACCTTTGGGCATAGGAGTATCACTTCAATACTAAAATTGTCCCATTCTGGGTCGTAACTACATAAGTCATTTCCCTCCTCAGTGTAGGTTTCCCTCAGTCTCAAAAGCCCAAATCAGGGGAGAGGAGGCAGGAGACTTCTTTGTCAATTCTATATCTTTCTTCTCTACTTTTCTATCTTTTTCTGCATTGGTCAGAATAGAGACGGGATGCTAAGGACCAGAAGAGTCTTATTTGAAGAGTACAAGCATAACCCAGTGATGTGCTCTCTGAGTCTCACATGCTACTTCTTTCTTTGATGAATACTTTTGTGAATTGCCTTGAAGAGCCTCCTTCCCACCAGTAGAACTTTCTGTCTACAGCTTCCTTGATGGCAGTAATACCTCTCCTCCAGCTAGATTCCTTTATTGGCTCCTTGGTATCCAACTGTTCGTCTCTCTGTTGAGGATCACGTTGCCCCTCCATGCATCCTTTTGAAAAATATTCAAAATGGCATTAGGCTTGCTATACTTTGAACCAAAGAAATATATACATTTTTATCTACAGAAATATTAATGGATCCTTGCTCTGTTGTTGCTGGAAATACAGTTCGTTCCCAATGAAGCTTTCTCACCTTCTCTGCCCCCTTCAAGTTGATCTGTAGCCACAGTGTATCATACCAGTTCTAATGCTTTCCAAACCCCAAGAGACATGTGTTAGGCTCTCTTGAAGGCTCCTCTCACTTGGCTTATGGCAAAAATGAAACAACACCCCAGTGGGGAAGAGGACCACAAAACATTGGAAAGCTTACACAGAAATTCCATCTTTTTCTTCCTGTTTGTCCCACAACTCTTTTGGTGAAAGAAGGATATGGGAAACTGGATTTTTCCATACTTTTACAAGTATTGCATAGGTTGTCCAGAAATTACTTGTAATATGAAATTTTTTGGCTACTGTTAGTGTGCTGTAGGTTTCAGGAGTTCAGCTGAAACTGAGATGAAAAGTGCCTTATTTTATCTTTCTATCAGATATTGCTCACTCTTTCTTGCTTGCCTTCTTTTGTAAACGAGGACGCATTCATTAGTGGATTAACTAGTGAGGTGACAACTAAGGTTTCCTTCTGATTCTCTTTTTCAGCCCTTAGCTGACTATCAGAATCCATCTTGGGGGCCAGGCGCGGTGGCTCACACCTGTAATCCCAGCACTTTGGGAGTCCGAGGCAGGTGGATCACTTGAGGTCAGGAGTTCAAGAACAGCTTGCCAGCATGGTGAAACCCTGTCTCTACTAAAAATACAAAAATTAGCTGAGTGTTGTAGTGGGCGCCTATAATGCCAGCTACTGGGGAGACAGAGGCAGGAGAATCACTTGAAACCTGGAAGCAGAGGTTGCAATGAGCCAAGATTGTACCACTGCACTCCAGCCTGGGTGACAGAGCAAGACTCCATCTCAAAAACAAACAAACAAACAAAAAAAGAATCCATCTTAGTCCCAAGAACCTTACAAATACTAAAAAAGTTACTGACACTGCAGTGGTTGCTCCATATGATTTATAGGTGGATTTACATTATCCTTTAATATGACCAAATGGAACTGCATTTCAGAGAAGTGAAAGCCTGCAGCCATAGTACAGAACATGACATTTTGAATTTTGACCTAGCAGCTTGAAGCTGAATCGTGCTGTTACAGAACAGATTTTAAGCTGTAGGATACTGCATGCCTACTAATGTCTTCCACAAGAAAATATACAACGTTTAGAGTACTTATCCTATTTGCAAAATGTCAAGACTTAGAAATGCAAGGGCAGTAGCCTGGAACAGAAAGAAGCAAAGATCTGACAGCTGAACCAGCCCAGGATCACAGCTCGCTACAAAAGCAAGCCAGTGGTTGCCAAACTCATAGAAAACAGGGCTTTTGAAAGACAACATACAGAATGGTTTTGTTCCTCTTTTAGAAAGGATTTGTGTTTATTTATTTATTTTTACATAATGTGTCTTCAATTCATATTTTTGTGGAAAGGTGTCCACTTTCTTTTTTTTTTTTTAAGCTTTTGTGCTGTGAAAGTCTAAAGAGGAAAACATCCTCGAATGATTTCAACATGACCCCAATTAAAAACAGAAGACACCCTTTCCATATAGTTACATTATGTATATCACCTACCACAGCAGCAACGAGTTCACATTAATAACCATGGTATTCAAAAAATCCAAAAAAGACTCTGAACCATCAGCACTAGAATATTGGCTTATAATTATTATTAACTAAAACTATCCTTAACTTGCATAATAGAAGTTATGGTGGCCTTCCAGGATGTGGCTCAGAACCCAGCAAATATGTCAAAATACCAGAGCAACCCAAAGGTTATGAATCTTATCAGCAAATTGTCAGCCAAATTTGGAGGTCAAGCATAATGCCCTTCTGATAAATAAAGCCTTTGCTGAAGGAAAAGCAACCTAAATCACCTTATGGATGTCGCAATAATACAAACCAATGTACCTCTGACCCTCTCATCAAGAGAGCTGGGGTGCTTTGAAGATAATCCCTACTCCTCTCCCCCAAATGCAGCTGAAGCATTTTACAGTGGTTTGCCATTAGGGTATTCATTCAGATAATGTTTTCCTACTAGGAATTACAAACTTTAAACACTTTTTAAATTTAAAAATATTTAAAACAAATTTAAAGGGAAAATAAAAAAAAAACAATGATTCAAGCATGTCAGATAAAATCATTTTGCTTATTTGACTTTATAGTTTTGTAAGTGTAATTATCACAACTTTCTTTTTCTTAACTCTATTTCTGATGTAGGCTGTCTTGATGACAAGCCATGTAGGTCTCCCCCAAATTATCTCAATTGATTTCAGAGTAGTGTTATCTATTTTGTTGTTTTTGTTTGTTTTGGTTTGTTTTTGTTTGTTTGTTTTAGACGAAGTTTTGCTCTGTCATCTGGGCTGGAGTGCAATGGCGTGATGTTGGCTCACCACAACCTCTACCTTCCAGGTTCAAGCAATTCTCCTGCCTCAGCCTCCTGAGTAGCTGGGATTACAGGCGTGTGCCACCACGCCCAGCTAATTTTTGTATTTTTTTAGTAGAGATGGGGTTTCACCATGTTGGCCAGGCTGATCTCAAACTCCTGACCTCAGGTGATCCACTCGCCTCGGCCTGGCAAAGTGCTGGGATTACAGGTGTGAGCCACCGCACCTGGCCTATTTTGAAGTTTTCATGTTTAAGCTAAAATAAGCTTCTGGGAGCATTTGCCTTTCCAGTCACAACATACAGCTGATATGATCATCTTTCTCAACTGATTCCCTTCATCATAAAGTCTCTAAATTCATTCATCACTTAGGCATAATTACTGTGTAACTCTTGAACAATTTGTACCATTTGTACCTCAGGAAGTCTCTAGAGCTGACACTAACATTTTATAATGTTTCTAAATCATCACCTAACATCTTAACAGTAATGTAATAGCAATGTTAGCTTATTAAAAACAATCCAAAAAATCTAAAATTCTTTTTAAAGGGTGATTTGATAATGAATGCAGCAAGCTGGAAAAAAAGTTGATTACTAGCCTCATGTCTACAAAGTTAAAGGGGAAAAATTCTGTTGATAACCTTTTTTTTCTCCTCTGTGCTCATTTTAAGAGCCTGGCAAATAAGTCTTACCATAAAGTAATAAGAAGAGTTGAAAAAATTGTGTTAGAACCATAAAAATTCTGGCTTGGGGGCCTTTTATCTTCTAATGTTCAATTAAACTATTTCCACAATAGATTCAAGGATAGCTGAGAAGGATTGGTATAATCATTACAGTAAGATATTGATGTTATTTCTTTGGTTTGTGGTTAGAATTCTATCATAGACATAACAAACTTGCTTCAGTGAGCTCTCACTGCCATAGGTGAGATTAAAGGTCTTGAGGTGTTTCTTTCATCTGTCAAGGCAACAAAAGAGAATATGTTGCCACTAAGAAACTATAAACAATTTCCCAACTGGTGTGCATCAATTTAGACTAACATGTTCCTGCTGATTAGAAAAGCAGGTGTTTCTTTTTATGAGTGGAAATGAATTACGTTTTCCCAATGTTTGCATAGGACAACAAACAGGATCCAGGTAGCTCTTGCCCAAGAGAGAGGTTTTGGATGGTGCCTTCAGTTATGTGGCAAACACCTACTGTGAACAAGCTAAAACCTGGAAAGAATATGGTAATGTTATTGACACAAACCTGGCTGCAGATGGGACAAATCCGCAACCAATTGTTATGTTATTATTCATTAGTCTAATAGGTTACCCAGGCCTTATATAATATCTTCCTTTTCTGGCAAATGTAGCTACAGCTTTTAACTCAGTCAACAAAAGACATCT